ATTTTTGTCAAAAGAGGACTCCATTAGTAATAGTTTGGTGCCAACTATGGGCATTTTTTTAGATTTCTAATTTAAAAATATCAATCACTTGTATAGTACTTGAATCTTGTTTGAAAGTAATATTTTGTAGTTTTGTCTTTTTGGATATGTTAATGAGGAAGAGAGCATGGATTTTATTCATGTCCAAATGAGTATTGTTTAACTTGATCCATTAGAACGGAGGGGGACACTAGAAAGCTCTGTATTTGATCAATGGTAGGAAGACTTATAAAAATGAACCCTGAAGCTTTTAGGCTTTTATTGGCGTACAATTTTGGTTTTTTTGTTATTAAAAATTGTAGAGAATAATGAAATGTGACATTAAGTTAAAATTGTTTCAGAAATAAATATTATGTTTCCTATATTATTTTAAGCACAGCCATGATGCATCCATACATTTACTGTAACAATTTTCACCTAGTTACAGTTTTGATTTAAAATGTGTAATTCTCTTTCAGAATCAATATAATCTAGCAAGAGCCCAACAGTCCTATAATTCCATTGTACAGATACATGAGAAAAATGGTAAGTTTAATTCAATAAGTATTTATTGTCATTTATGAAGTTTTGTAAAAAAATGTATTGATATTCTGTTTAATTTTTAATCAAGTACAGTTATCACAGTGAAAAAATTTAACTTGTGCTGCATCCAAAATCTTTGAATGAATCTGTTAACACTCTGCTTCTTTCAGTATCTTTTCAAGTAGATTAATGAGCGAATCATAGCACTCACTTGAAATGTATTCTTTAGAATAGAGAGTGAGTTAAAGGCAACTCCTTATAGGCACAGTTCTTGTTATAATTGGGTAAATTCAATAAGGATCATAATCAGCTCTTTCTGAAACATCTTCAGAGTAGTAGTGTTTTTGACAATTTTATACAATTTTCTATTCAAGTAAGAACAATTCTAATTTCAGCATATACTTCTGAGCAATATCTTTCTTAAAATATCTTTCATTAACTTTAATGGCCTTTAAGTTTTGTTTGTATTCACAATGCACATATTTTGAGGATTTTGTCTCTTAACAATGAGAGGAAAAAAACAATGAACTAATTGGAAGACCTATTTTCAAGTACCGTTTTTTTGTCACCCACTAGGCACTGGTGACCCTGAGTAAGCCTCAATTTCCAATCTTTTAAATTTGGCATGTATGTCTTGCCACCTTTGGGAAGGAAGAGTAGTGTGCATGTATAATACTTTGTAAACAAGTGCTAATAAACACACTTCATCGTAGTAGTGACACACTGCATGGTGACCCTTTTGTGCCAAATAAATAACAGGAAGTAGTTTTCCTTAAAGAGGAGAGTTTGTAGTAAATATTCTTTACTTTGCTAGAGATAGGGTAGTTTGTTAGGATTTGTGTTTTACACTCACTTTTATTTTAATGACAAACTTGTCACTTTTTTAGTGATTGCTTGCTTCTGGAAGTAATATTCAGAATAATTTTCAAGCTTATGAGAAAGATGATGATGACCTTCAGGACAAGACCAGGTTTTCCTAATGATCATTTCTAGTGCCCCGCAATGAGTAGATCCAAAAACACTACTACTTCAGAATCTTGTAGCTGCCCCACAAATCTTGGTTGTTTCAATGACAGTTTTATACCAAATAGTACTTGGTCTAATTTGCCTTTCTATAGGGAGCTTAGATTTTTGTGGAGCCTGGGAATGATCACATTTTTTTTTTTTATCTTTCATTTTATCTTAAACATTACAAGTGGCATTTAAATACATTTACAGAACTTGCTGTGTATGTGTGTGTGTGTGTAAACTTAGCTATGATGAAAGAGCAAGAGATTCAGAATTAGGAGAGATGGATTCTAGTTTTGTTTTTAAATATGTACATATTTTTTATTTATTTGACAGATACTATTATTTGTTTTGTATGTGTTTTGACATAAATATGTATATATTTACATACACACATTGAATAACTAAATCTGGCTAATTAACACATTACCTATAATTTTTATGGTGAGAATGCTTACATGCACTTTTAGTATTTTTCAAGAATACATGTATTAACATAGTCACCATGTAATGCAGTACATAGAGATGAATTCTGTTTTGGTTCTGTTACTATTCACTTGGTTACCACATCTTCTTTGAGGCTTCTTCATAGTATCATTACACTGATGATTTTCAATTTTCTCTTATTTGAAATTTGCTTTTGGATAGTAATATCAGTTAGATTTACTTTCAAATACAAAGGTGAAATGAAAACCTAACATTCGATCTACTATTACACACTGTTGTCTTTAGCTAGGAATACCATTAATAACAGAGATCTTATGCTGTAAACTCAAGTACAATTTATGCATAGAAAATAATTTGATATTGTGAATACAAAATGCTGTGTTAATTCAGTGTAATTTTTACAGTAGATTTAAACATCAAATTTTTGAAGTAGAGATTCTGCCTAACCTTAAATGCCAGCTCTCCTAGTTGGCTTAAGGATTAAAGTGTTTTAACTTTTTTTCCATTCTATTTCAGGCTGGTACACTCCTCCAAAGGAAGATGGCTAAATATGTTGACTCTCATATGTTTGGACCAATGTTGCTTTAAAGAAAATCTTTCCAACATGCAGATACAAGCTTTGAGTGCCCCTATAACAGCAGTACTGAAGATGTTAGCTAATAGATATTTTAGTGGATAATCTGTCAACTGACATCGAGTATAAGTTACAGCCTTTTCATTTTGCTCACTTCAGTTATCTTGGACTGAGCAGTGGGGCCTTTACTGTATTTTCCTGATAAATACACTTACTGGCCACTCCTTATCTTTTTTTCTTGAAAAGTGAAATCTTTTAAGCAGGCAAGTCAGCATCAGGTTACTGTGGTTGCGACTTGGCAGTAGCTTTCCTATACTGAGTTCATGGGTTTTGAGGATTTGCAATATACTGTTCCATTTAGAGCCAATAAAAGTTTAATCAATGTTCAATTGGTTTAGAAAATTTTAAGCCTTCTAAACCACGGCCTTTTAAGGTCTAAAACCATTTTATGATATTGCCAACTTAATGACAGGAAATTTACTCATTAAATTGTTAAAAACTTTTTTATGGCTGTGTGAAGATATGAACTGTTTCATGAAGATATGCTCTTACTTGAATTGTACGTTTTAGGCAAAGCAAAGTAAGGCAATGCCACTTAAGGCTTGTTGAGTAGTAATTTCCACTGGGGCAGAAGAGTCTTGCTGGGCTGAATCGAATTGGTTTCTTTTGGTTCAATATTTCTTACAAAGAAGAGCCACAATATGGAGCTTGAAGTTATTTAAAATACTAAGTCATTTTACCTTTCCATTTTATTAACGGGATGTTGCAATGATTTGTAAACTAATAAACTTATAAAGTGATTGGCATGAAAACAGACTTCCTTGAGCAAAAAGCTATATAGTTAAGTACAAAAAGATACCTGATTTGGAGACTCTTTGTTGTCATGACAATGGCTTTTACAACCAGAAGACTAATAGGAACTCATTATTCTTTTGTACAACCTGACTCAAATCAATGTACTCTCCATTTTACTGCCTTACACGAATCAGTCCTGTTTGGTTGGTGAGAGATTTTTTTTTTTTTTAATAAACCCAAGTTTGATTTAAAAATAAATTCTAGTTATTAAGCACTTTTTAAAAGAAACCCAGAAGCACATTTTTCTGCACAAACCAGTTACAAAGTTGAAACACATTTCTTATGCATTTGCTTTGATTGTTTTTAACTTTGTAAACCATATCTGAGAGATTTGACACTTATGCATTATTGTGTTTCTTTTGATTTTATTTTGGTTAGGACAGTAGATAAAGATCTTCTGGCATTCTTGCTCACTTTAAATTTATATAAAGCTCTGATTGCCAGCTGCTCAGATAACAAGTGACAAGGCAGAATTCTTTAAAGCATTAAAGTTCCTTAAGCCTAAGGCTAAATCTTGAATACATTATTGAATTCTTTAATATCCTGATGGCTAGCAGATTGACAGCTGCACATTTGGCATGCTTTGTTTTTTGGATTTTATTTTTCATTGCAGATTTATTTGGCAATGTACAGTAAATTTTGTAAACTTGCATCAAGTTTATGAATAAAGAACCATTTAAAAATTACTTTGTCACCTTTCCCTCATAAGAGATACAGTGCTTTAGGTATGTTTCAGGTAGCCTCTATTGAATTTCTGGAATAGGGTATTTAAAGAGGGTTGGGATGTGGGGAGGCTTGAGAGGAAGAGGCAGATTGACTTTAAAACTAGAAAGCTAGAGAACTTAGAAACTGTGTACATGCCTGGTATACTCAGCTTTCCCTCAGTCTTTTCCCTTATCCACACTCAGTTGTCATTTTCTTCATGCCTGTCTTTAATTTCCCTAGTTTAAATAATCTGTTCCTCCTTTTATATACCTATGGCCTCCTTTTACACAATTGTCAGGTTATCTCATAAGACGTTCAGAGGTAGGACAACTGTAGGCTCAGTATATCTGGGCAATACTCTGCTTGAGATTTTTCTGTGCCAGTTTCATCTTTGGATTGAATGTCATGTCTGGACTTGCAGTCACGCCTTACTTGGTATTGGGTTAGATAACACTCCTTTCTGAGTGTCTCCTTAGGAGATGAGGAAATCTTTATAAGTCCCACTCCACCAAGAACACTGCCTCTTAATTTTCCTAGTGCCCACCCCTAAACCAGTGGATAGTGGAAAGAATAAAACCATCCTAATTAGTTTGGACCAATGGTTTTCAAATTTCAGAGATCCTGGAGACCTTTTATTAGGAGGCTTTTAAGGTCAAAACTACTTTCCTAACAAAAACATTTTGCCATTTTCATTCATTCTGAAAGGATGGTGGAGTTTCCCGGAGTCTACAATCCACATTTCCTGTTAAGCCAGTAATCAGATTTTCAAAGTGTAAAATGATGTCACACTATTTACTACTGGGGGGAGGGAGATTTGGAAATCAGTTTTCACTTAAATTAATACACAGAATTATTTTAAAATGTTTTATTTGGTGTCAATGTTTAAGTGTGTAAAGGTCCTGGAGGCCAAAATGAGAACCACTAGTTCAGATCATCCAATTTCACTCTCTAGCTGGGAGTCGAATCAAGGATGCCTTAACTAGGAAGAGCGCTGTTGGAATTGATATTAACAGGTCTACTTCCATTCCTTCTGTTGTGGTTCTCTTCCTCAGCATCCATTAGAATTGACACAAAGTTTGTTGAAACACACAATGCTGTGGCGATTTAGTAACCTGAGGTAAAGAGAACATGCTAAAACAATAGTTCCCAGGTGAATGATGCTACAGGCGGAGAAACGGTGCATGGTTTAGGGCGAGATTCCCCTGTAATGATTGGCTACCTTACAAAAGGAGGTGCTACTAATGCCGGCTTACGCAAAACTAAAAAGACTACAAACCAACTACTTTCACTAGGCGCTGAGGAAAGGCGGCGATTTTTCACAGTAATTTTTTAAAAATGGATCTTGCCAAAAGTTGGGGATCATGCTAAACAAGCATTTTATAAAGACCAATAAATACTGCCTAGTTCCTACACTAAAGGAACTCACGAATTAGACGAAGATGTGAACTGGCAAAATACAGCGGCTCCAAGTACAGTGAGAAGTTCAGAAGAGAACTCGTTTCTACTGCAGGAGGGAGGAAGTTCGGAGCACCAGAAGACACGCACCCACAACATTCCAGAACAGACGAGCGTTCTTAACTTCCGCGCCGGAAACCCAGCGGCCAAAGGTCACGCAGAAGCCTCCGCAGCGTCCCCTCCATTGCCCGGCCGACCGGAAGTGGCGCCTGCGCCTGCGCAGTGTGCGCTTACTGTGGAATCGTACGCCGGCCTATCCGGGTGCCTCCGAGCCGCCGTAGTGCTTGTGCGAGCGGGTTGGCGAGGAATGGAGCCGGTGGGCGGTGGCGGCGACCGCTGCGGCTCCTCCTCCGCAGACCCTCGGAGCACCTTTGTGTTGAGTAACCTAGCGGAGGTGGTGGAGCGTGTGCTCACCTTCCTGCCCGCTAAGGCGTTGCTGCGGGTGGCTGGGTGAGGAGAGGGGAGGCGGGAAGCTGACCGGTGGGCATTCCCCGGGCTGGCGTGGTGGGAAGACACCTTCTGGACTTAAGAGCTCCCACGTCTGTCCTGAGGCAACCCCGACCTATGAAGTGCCCTTGCTGTTCCGGGAACTTTTCTGAGTGCGAAGTTCCCCCTGAGGTTTTTTTCAACATTCGGCTCTTCGGCCGAACCAGCACCCACACACCTACCTCACCTGCGGACGTTGGATCCTGCAGGGATCTCCAGCTGCCACGCTAGCGGGTGGGTGGGGGGCGGTCTTTGAGCCACGGAAGAGGTGAATGCCAACGACCTTTTGTGCATTTGCGTCCCCAGTGTGTGCCGCTTGTGGAGGGAGTGTGTTCGCAGAGTGTTGCGGACCCATCGAAGTGTGACCTGGATCTCCGCGGGCCTGGCGGAGGCCGGCCACCTGGAGGGGCATTGCTTGGTCCGCGTGGTAGCAGAGGAGCTTGAGGCAAGTAAGAAGGGGTGTCTGCAGTCATTTGCAGGGTTGAAATTTAAAACTCCCAGTATTGTATGTGTCCTTGTTTTTGTTGAAGAACATTTTCTTGTGCCAGTGAAAAGCCTTTTGTAATAAACGATAGCTTTAGTAACTGTATGGTAAGGGCATGGGGTGATTTATTTGACTATTCATCAGATGTTAGCTATTCTAATAAAGCTTCACAGATCCTTTCCCTTGAAGCAAGTGGTTTTCGTCTCTGTTTTGCAGGTAATGCAATTGAGTGTCTCTTGCTCAATGCTACACACTGGAAAGCCAAGAAACAAAACTTATTCCCAAGTATTTCAACGCCTGCCCTGTACTACTTACTATCTCTGGGCCCCCTTTTCAAAAGGTGCGCCAGTAAGTGGGAGGTAAAAACGTGGACTGTGAAGTTAGACAGTGAGATTGATATCTCACTAGGGTGTGAAAGAGAGCCCTTTGAGAGTAAATTGTCAACCTGATACTCTAATCACTCTGTACTTGAGTATGTATAATGTACAAACAAAAAAATTCTACATAATCACAATGCAGCCATCAAAATCAGGAAACTGTAGTTGATCTATTTTTTTCCATCAGATAGCCTCAGACTCCATTCAGTTTGTCAGTTGCCCCAGTAATGTTCTTCATAACAAAAGGATTCAGTGGGGAATTCTTTTACCAATCAGTCACTTTAAATAAAGTTCAGATTCTTTGGTCTGGAACAGTTTCTCAAGCTTTTCTTGACTTTCCCAATCTTGATACTTAGGAATATTAGAAGCTAGTTGTTTTGTAGAGCATACATAAACTGGTTATGTCTGAGGTTTATTCAATTCAGATTATGTTTCTTTGGCAAGAATTGCACAGAAGTGGTGTTTGCGCTTCTCATGGCCTTCTTTCAGGTAGCATGTGGCTTTCATTTGTCTCATTACTGAGGAGATTATCTTAAATTACTTGATTTGCTTGGTATCTATCAGGTGTCTTTACTGTAAAATTAGTTTCTTGCTGTAATGAGTGTTTTGTGGAGAAATACTTTGAAACTGTTTGAGTCCTCTTTCAGTTTAATCATTTATATTTGTAAATAGTCTTGGTCTGTTATTCAAAGGTACATCTGTTACTATCAGTATTTATATTGGTGTTCAAATTATCCCCAGTTTGATGAGTGGGAGCCCCTTCAGGCTGTCTTCATTGTCTTCCAGAGATGACTCCATCATCTTTGAACACTTGCCTGGTTTCTGGCACAATGTGGTTTAAGCTTGTCAAGTGCTATCTGCTTCAGTCCTAAAATTGATGATTTCTCCAAGAAGCCCTGGTTCCTTTAAGTGGAGAATGGCATTTAGAAGCTAAAATCTGTACTTTAAGTGTACTCTTAGCTCTTGAGAGATTTACTGCTTTAAAGCCCAGTCAGTGGACAGAACCAAGGAGTGTATATATGTATTTATAGTCATCCCTTTGGATCTACTGTGTATTGGTTCTAGGACAACCCCATCCCTACTCCCCACCATCCACATTTGGAAATCTTTGGATACTCAAGTTCGTTATGTGAAGGATATAGTATTTGCAGATAACCTATGTATATCCATCTATATTTTCAGTAATCTTCAGATTACTTAATACCCAATACAATGGAAATGCCACATAGTTTATACTGTATTGTTAGAGCATAATGAAAATAATGTTAGAGAATAATGAAAATTTTGTGCATGTGCAGTACAGATTAACTTTTTCTCTTTTGAGTATTTTTCAACCATGATTGGTGTCTCTGAACTCAGAACCCACAGATGTGGGTGCCGAATGTAACATGCCTATGTATGTATATACATCTCTTGCCCATTTACAACCATATTTCTATCCATCTATATCTGGAAACTCATGAGTTTCTCTTTTTTTGGAGGGTGGAACTGGGGATTGAACCTAGGGGTGTGTTGCCACTGAGCTATATCCCAAGTCCTTTTTATTTTTTACTTTGAGGCAGGGTCTCACTCAGTTGCTGAGGGTTTCTGAGTTGCTGGGGTTGGTCTCCAAGTTGTGATAGTCCTGCCTCAGCCTCCTGAATTGCTGGGATTATAGGCGTGCACCACTGCACCTGGCACATAATCCAACATAGGATTCTTTCTTTCTTTCTTTCTGCTCATACTTGTACCTCCCTTTTGGACAATGAAAAACTTGGCTCTCATCTTTCTTATATTTAGATAGCAGATGAGTGCCCCATATGTGACTGATGGTCAGTTTCTGGTTTCTTTCTTTTTTTCTTTTTTAATATTTTTTTAGTTATACATGGGCACAGTATCTTTATTTTGTTTATTTATTTTTATGTTGTGCTGAGGATTGAACCCAGGGTCTCACACCTAAGAGGCGAGTGCTCTACTGCTAAGTCACAACCCCAGCTCCTGTTTCTTGTTTCTTTGTGTCAGTTTTCACCTTAACTTTTTGGGCTCTGGGACCCAGACCCAGGGAGCTGGTCAGTGTATAAAGGCAGACTTGTTGGAAAACTTTCTTTTCTGACACTTTGGTCCAAATCCTGCTCTTTCCAGGTTTGTTGTTTGGAAAAACTTGGAAGTTCAAGCAAAAACTTTTCCACAGAAATGTTCTTTGGAGCTTCATTTATAATGCAGGAAATTAAAAAGAACCTAATGTTAATCTAATAAATGAAGTCATTATGTGATGAACTTCAAGGTTCATTTAATGATAAAACAAAATGAAAGTGAAAACACAGGTTACTAAATTATGTTTAGTTAATCTGTATTATTAAAAACAAAAAGGAAGAGTAATCTCCAAAATGTTCGCATAAGTTTCCTTTGGGATTAGAATTGAGATTTTTTTCCATGCTTTTTTAAACTTTGTGTGGTTTTCAGCTTTTTACCATGGCAGGCATTATTTTTATATGAGAATTAGGGAAATTCAGCAGTTGCTTTTCAGGGGGACTAAAAAAGACAGAATCATAACATCTCAGGACTAGACTTCAAATATTTGTCTAAGAATAGAAAACTTGAAGCCTAAAAACTTTGTGAAGATTATTCTGCTGGCATATGGCAGAGGCAGTACTAAGCCCTAACCCTCTTGGCCCCTTTCCTAGGTTTCACAGACTGAAATGCCCTGACGGCCAGAAAGGCAGTTAAAGTGGAGTAGTGGCTCAGAGGAGTAGTAAGGCCATAGCAGGTCTTTCTGTCAGGAGGCATGCAGTCTGTGTTGTTAGAATGCTCTGATTTTCAAAAGAATGTGGAAATCCTCATTTTAGCCAGAAATTTTGTGGAATTTTAAATTTTGGCAACCATTTTGCAGTTTTTAAAAAATGCCACGGGGACCAAGGAATGTATATTTATAGGTTATATCCAGCCTGGAGGCTACCACAGGTCATCATGCTTAGTAACTTATAAGTTTATCTATCTGGAATCTACTCTGAACTTACCAAATTATAATGAATCATCTTTTTTCCCCATCTGACCAATAGTGAAACTTTATTATAAACTGAGTATTTTATTCTGATGGTTTTCACACACCAAAAGAAAAATATCTTCATTCTTTCTTTTAATTCAACCACATGTCTGTAATGTGAAGTTTAGTGAAAAATCAATGAATATGAATAAGCAAGCCCTGCTTGTAGAGGAGATAGGACACAAATAAGGATCCCAAGTACTGAGGGAGTCTAGGAGCGGACTAAGACAGGAAGAGAGCTGCAGGGGACCTGGGGAAATGGGCATGTCTGATAATAGGAAACTAAGGGTTCTTCAAGGAAGCTTGAAGGTGGGGCTAGATATGAGGAAAGCCTGGACTATTTGACATGCTAGGCAGCAAGGAGAGGAGTAATAGAGCAGCATCGCACCTTCAGTCTGGTGAAAGGTTTCTGTTAAAGCAGGTGGCATCTTTTGCTGGTACTTAAGCGCTTAAATTACCATTATAAAAATGAACTTGAGGGCTGGGATGGATTTGACTTCAAGAAGTAATTAGGTGCTCAGTAAAATGATCTTAAAATGCAAGGGCTAGAGTGAAGAATGAGAAGTAGATGAACTCGGAACCAAACATTGCCCTAAAGGAAGGGAAGATGGGGGGGGGCATCAGTAGTTTGGACCAGGGAGATACCATGAAAGTGGTCACAGATTATGGGATTCAATTTGATTTTTTGTTTTTTTTGCAGAATGTTCGTATCTTACCACAGACAGTTCTCTACATGGC